AGCCGTGGAAGAGACCAGAAGGCCTACCAAGGAATACCTATCGAACACTAGTAAAACAGCGGTGAGCAAGACAGGCGCAATCCCACGTAGTCAGTGCAGCAGGAAGCCGTTCATAGCACAGACCAGGAAGAAGGTGAACGAACATCAAGGATTTGAGAACTATAAATCTAATTAAAATATTTCCAACATTTAAAAACTAGAAGACAAATACTCTGTAATTAATTTGAGATCTATAAAAGCTCAGCAATATCACACTGGAATTTGGATGGTAACTTCAAAATTTGAAATGAGACGCTATATTTTTAAGGATACTGTACACTGTCATGTAAATAGGTAACAGTGGGCAAGGCAAACCGCTGGGCCACCGTATTGCCCGGATTCCCAGTCCTCCGCACCATAATTCATTCTTAAATTCAGAAGAAAAGATGGCTTTCAGACACTGTCCCAACCCTAATATAGTGACAATACACTCCAGAACTAAGAGCTATGCAATTTAAAGTTAGATTTTGTAAAAATGTAGCATTCGGTTAGCCTGCATTACTTAAGTCTTTGAGGTTGTCTCTAACCTAGCACTCTCCAACAGAACTTTTGCAACAGTGGAAATGTTCTATCTCCACACTGTCCAGTTCAGTAGCCACTACCTGCATGTAATTATTTAGCCACTGAAATGTGGCTAGCAAATCCAAGGAAGTGATGTTATAATTACAGTTAATTAGAATTAACTTAAATTTTGATAGCCAAATGTGGATAGTAGACAGCGCAAATTTAGTCTTAAACTGGAAGCTATTCTGAGTTAGGAGAAAACAGTTCCTGTCAGAACAGGCATTGTAGCACATGCCTATAATTCCACACTTGGGAGGCTGAAGCAGGAGGATCACTGTGAGTTTAAGGCTAGCCTGGGCTATATAGTGAGTTCAACTTCAACCTAAACTACAGAACAAGACCCCATTTTAAAAATCAAAACAAACAATCAAAACAGAAAACAGTTCCCTTCCTTTGGACTAAATCGTTCTAAAATGAAAAATTATTTTAAAATTGAGAAAGTCAAAACAATGTGTACATTAACGTGACTACGAATGAATAACAATCTAAAGACTAGTATGTAATTTAAACAATAGCAAGGACTGCAGTTTCTCTTATTGACCTGACTGAATTAAAAATGCATATATGGTTGAAATATGTATAGTTTCTTTTAAAAATCAGTGCTTATCATTAAGGGAAAATAATCCACAGAGTGTACACTTAATCAACATTTTAAAAGGATTTGAAAATGACTTGTGCTTTTATAATGACTGTTCATTCATGTATTTAATGCCTACAATGGGACAAGCACTCTGCTCATTTGGAGGATGATAATCTTACTAATATGCCACAACAAAAATACTGCACAATTAGCTATATTTAACTGGGTACACTTGAATTGATTTAGCTTCTAACAGCTTCATCTATAATTGCTTCATTTTTGAGCTATAAAATAATATAACCAATTGATCACTCATTTTTTAGATTTGACGGAAATCACAGTTAAAATATATTAATGCTTTCAAAGGCATAGTACATATCTCCAGAAAATTAAAACAACTTTAACGTATCTTTCCATTACATAAATGATATGCCATTACACCAATGATATGCATGATTTTTTGCAGAAGAAATTTGTATTAAAATTACTTTTTCCCCAATATCTATCATCCATTCTGGTCCATATAGAAAGTATTCAAACGTGAAGGGAAACAAGCGAGGGGAGAGGAGGGAGGGAAGGAAGAGAAAAGGAAAAAAAAGGATAGAAGAGAAAAAATGGAAATAAAGCCTTTACAAGTAAGGAGGGGAAGAAGGGTTGAAGAGAGAGGAGGTGAATGGGAAAGAAAAGAAGAATTAAAATATATTATGTACAAGTACAAATTCCCTACAATGAATGTTATCATTATGTATATCAAAAATGTACCAATAAAATTAGCTTTAAAAATTACTTTTTCTGAATTGGAATTTAAATCAAGACCTCCTAAAAAGTCACTGAAAATATTTTGATTAAAACAAAATCTGCCAGCCAGGTGTGGTGGCCCACACCTGTAATCCAGCAGCCTTGGAAGGCTGAGGCAGGAGGATCAACATGAGTTCGCGGCCAGCCTGGGCTACATAGTGAGCTCAAGGCTAGCCTGAACTACACAGGGAGACCCTGTCTCAAAAAACCAAAACAACAATAACAACAACAACAAAACAATAAAATAAAATCTGCTGTTTACTTGCACAGAAAATTTATTTTAGACATGTATATGAAAGTTATTTCTGGGTGTTTGGGGTTTGGGAAGGTAATTCTTTCTCTCAACAAACATTTACCATATGGCCACTCTGTGCCAGGAACCATGCTTGACACCAAAAGGCAACATTATCTTTGAAAAAAGTACAGGTGGGGCACCAAACTGTACATTGATGGAAACATTATCAGTCACCCCACAGCCATATCGAGATGAACGGATGGAGCCGAATCACTGATGTGATCTCAGTCACTGTGAATGGAGTATATTGATTGCCTTAATATTCCTTTCTCTGACTTCCATATGTATGGAGGTACAGCAATTGACAATTTATAATACCACGTTTTCATTCCAGCTATTGGAATGACTACCATATTTTGCCTTGGTGCAGCTAGATCATATATGCATAGATATACAGCACACACTGTACCCCAACAAAACTAGTTATATAATAATTCAAGCAAAACACCCTGAAGAATTTATTGGTCATTTCTAAAAACCACAAATAAGATCCTAACAGCATTCTAAATAATTTTTCAAACATAGAAAATTTATGGAGGCACCTTGAGACTATAACATTAAGCGAAATAAATCAGACACTCAAACTTAAAATATCACATGGTTTCTTTATATGAGAAACCCAGAGTAAAAATGAAGAACAAAATAAAAGATAGGTTACAGGAAGCAGGGAGCTAGATCGTTCTCGAAGGAGAACATGAGCGAGACACGGAGGGAGGGGGACAGAGGGAAGGGATAAAGGATGGAGAAAAAGGAATTGGGATGCGCTTTGTACATGTATCAGCTGCACATAAGGACTGTAAACTATGTACTGAAAACATGCACCCTCCAAAAGGAATAAAACAAAAAGAATAAAGAGATGGATGGAGGAGGGAGGGAGGAAAGGGAAAGGGGATGAAAAAGGAACTAAGATGTGTTATGTACATGTACCAGCTTCCCACAAGGACTGAAAATATGTACTACATATGTGTGCTAATAAACTAAAATTAAAAAGAAAAATTATTTACAGGATGCAAGTCTCAGCTTTACTGTAATATATATATATATCTTTTTCAATGAAAAAATGATAAAAATCACCAAAATTTTAATGGGTAAGATTGCAGGTGATTTTTATTTTCTTATTTCTATATTTTCCAACCTTTTTACAATGACCATCCATTTTGTGTATAATCCGTACATATTCTTGCAACTGTTCCAAATGCTATGTCTAGTATAGGTCCGGGTAAGGCCTCACATAGGGAAGTAGAAGTTGACTATAGGTGCGCTCTCACAGCGCTGGTGTAGAGGGCTTACGGTTTTGACCCAGTTGGAAGTCCTTTGGAAGAGACAAACATTTCCACTGTCTAAAATTACATTTTAATGAATATTCTTAAGGGGGCAAAAAAGAGTAACATATGTTTCCAGATTTATGACTTGTTTAAATCTTGGATAAACACAGTATTTCCGTCTCCCGATTTTCTACTCCGCACATCTTTATTTAAACATTTAGTAATGAATATTTAAAGGATTATTACCAACCACAAGATAGTTCTGAAAAGTAACACTTTTTTCCTAATGATAAGAATAGTGTACTGGGTGGGCTCTAGCTCAGTGGCACAGTGTCTGCTTTGCATGTGCCAGGCTCTGGATTCAAACCTCAGCTCCACCACCACCAAAAATAAAGTATATTATTGTTTATAGAAAAAGCGGAAAGTACAGAAGGTGGGAAGTAAAACTCGAATCATCTATAATTCTATCGTTCAGAGATGACCACCATGAGTGCTTCAGTATATAACCTTCTAGTAATTAGTCATAAGGTATTTGTATGTCCTGTTTTGATTTTCTTTTTCGGTCCCAGGAATCGAACCAGGGCCTCGTGCTTGCCAGGCAGGTGCTGTGCTGCTGAGCTACATCCCTGGCCCCTTGCTTTTTCACTTAATACTTTATCCTGAGCATTTTCTTGTATCCTCAAATATGTTTAATAAGCTTCACTCTAATGACTGCCTAACATTACTGATGGCCTTTAAATTTTCATCTTTAGTTAATAAGCACTATTTATTGTATCTACCTTGGACCTACATATCATAAGAAGAGATTCAAAATGTATTTGGTATTGAAAAGAACTGGCCAAGGGGTTTCCTGAATTAGTGATCTCCACTGCATTGAACCAACACTAGACTTTTGACACTAGAAATGATTTTATTCTGCTCAGATTCCTAAAATCACTCATACTGTGCACAATAATAAACCACTCATATGTTTTCTAAAATACAGTCTTTGGATTGGAAAACTGCTGCTCCATGAGAAATATTAGACAGTAAGGCACTCAATAAATCTCTTCTCTTCGTACATGTAAGCCAGGGCAGGCTCAAACCCAGGCTCTACCTGCTATAGCCAAGCAAGTAAATCACAGCTTAAAGGAAATGCCAAAGTAAAGCAGAGAAAAAATTATGCTTAGCACAAACTCCATTTCTGAATAAACAAATTTGTTCACTTTTCAAACTAAATATAGAAAGGTACTGTGATTTTTTTTTCTGAGAAAAATTCAATTCAGAAGCTCCATAACAATTTTACTACAGTCTGGCCTCCTAAATTTGCTTAGCAAAAGTCATGAAAATTATTCAGTATGCAAATCACAATTCCTTTGAAGTACAAGAGAGGGAAATTCTATGTCAGAATTTGCAATTTCAGTCTAACAGGAAATTCTATTTCCAATTATCTTTGGTGAGTTGTAGAGTCTTTCCTTACCTGCAAGGCAGTTGAGAATCAGAAAGACCTTCCAAAATGCGAATACCATTGTGTCGAGGGGTCGAGAAAGGCAGGTTCCAGTAGTTTGCCTGAACTAGGCTGAGGCTCAAACTGGCTTCCTCAATCAGCCAGAGGTTTGCCAAGCTTATCTGCTGGGCATTACCAAGCAAACTTTCCTCTGTGAGCTTATTTATTGGGTACAGAACTTTCTCAGAGCAGGCTTCTGTTTCTTTGAAACACTTCATGGGGTGTTTCCTTGATATATTTGCAACTGTGTTAATAATAAACCCATGTATTTAAATTCTTCAAGCTCTTTGTACACAGATTCTCTAAGTTGCATTGTTCAAAATCAATCTTAAAAAATTGTACTGAGGGGGTGAAGATATGGTTGGAAGAGAGCCCATGTGAATAAAAGCTGACAAGGATAATTAAATTCATACATTTCCATGAAAGTCTTATAGCATTGATTCACTAACCTCCTTTTACAAATTAGGTTATTAAATTGGTGCTCTAAGGTTTCCTGGGCAGATGGGTTCATAGAAAGAGCACAGGGGTTATGAAGTGAAAAATCATTCATATCTATGTGGATAAACTCTGGACAGGTCACCTTTTTGAAGCACTGGCAGTTATCACTACCCCCCACCATAAATGGCAAGAGAATGAATTCCACGTCTCCCAACTTCAACACTTTATAGCACTTATTTGCTAATCTAATTTTTCAAAATCAGATTAGGAATGAGTGCCTCAAGACTTTCATTAGATGGGTATAAATTTTGGGAGAATTAACTTACTGAGTAGATACTATAGGGTTTCTTTGGAAATGGAAGTTCTCCAGGAAGGCATGGGAGAGTCACAAGTGAGGAGCTTTCATGTGCACATGAACTTCTAATAAAGTTCCTTTCATGCTTACATTACCCTGAGAAATCTAAAGCGCTCCTGCGGCGCTTCCCCTATGATCTGTAGGCTGTGTTGTTTCCTGCTCTACACTTCTCCAGTCTGTTGCTTCCATTATGGTCCAGATTATCAGCTCCTCACCTCTGGCTACCGCAGCAGCCTTCTAAATGGTCTTCCCGACTTCCTCCATCCTCTTATGTACCAACAATAGGCCAGTGTTTTAACCCTAATCAAGTCCTTTTAATAACAACTTATAGAGACTCTCAGTAAGGCCAAAGTCCTTCGTCTGAGTTCCCAGCCTTCCAAGATCTGGTCCTCACCATATCTGAACTTTAGCCACATTAAATCATCCACCTGAAAAATCCTGTCAAAATTTATTGCCTCAGATGATTTAGTCACATGAAATATGCATAAGTTTCAAGTGATATATTTTATGAACTTTAATTTTCAGAAAATACTTGACTCCATTTTAACTTAGGCAAATCAATTCCCCCTTACATCTCAGAAAGTCATTTTGCTTCCTTCAGGTTTTCCGTCCATACTAACGTCTGATGACAACCTTGGTTCCAGGTGACTTTTGTCACTATAGGTTTCTCTCCTCCCTCCTCTTGTTACCCAAGCATAGTCTTAGGGCCGTTTAGTCATGCTATTCTGGGTAAAGAATTCTATAAACCCAGCTACCACCTCTCTCTGGGCTCCCCCTATGATAGATTCACATTTTACAAAATCAGATTAATTTAGCTACCTAGAGTCAGTCAATACTCTACAGCCGGCACTTGATTGCTCTCTGGTAGTTTCCTGTTTTGTAATTGAATCTGCCCTAAAAGCAGTGACTGTGAACTTTTTCAAGGCAAGAATCAGGTCTTATACAGGTATTTCCCATGTTATGAAAAGATGTGTCTCGAAATGTAACCCAAAACACACACTTCCTGAAAAGCAACGTTGCAAGGAAGTGTCACTCCCAGACTTGGGTAGCACACAGGTCAGCACTGGCTTCAATTCTGGGTGCTGGGCCATATAGAGCAGGGGAAGAAGAGAAAGAACAGCAGGTGGCAAAAGAAGAACAGTCTTTTATTTTCTAAAGACAAGAGTTATGATCAAGACATTTCCCCCCAAATAAGTATTGCGTGTCTCTCCTATCTACCTTCCCTTCGGACCTCACCCTCATGACTCCTTATGTCCCTAGCTTGCCATGAAGGAAAGTCTGACTCCCTAATATTCCACGTTCCAAAATTTCCTTCTGCTTTCTATCCCTGTTCCAGAAACGCTTCCATTCTCTGCACAAGGAAAAATAAGTTCCGTGTTCATTCGAAGGGGAAAAATCAGTTTTCATGAGCACTCTTCAACCTGTTTGCACTAGTGAAAGTGGAATACTTTTGTTCTCCAAGTAAATCTCTGACCAGGAGGACTAGTCAATGTAGTAAGCAGAAATGGCATGCAGGAGGAAGTTTTGCAGAATAGGATGTAGATATACATAAAGATGGCCCTAAAGGGAGGTTGATACCAGCTCTTCTCGGCCTTGGTTCTGCCTTGACCTCTATGGCAACCAAGTATCCAAAAGACCCAAGGCTTTCACAATGGGTTTCCTGAAATAGGCATTCCCAGTGGTGAGGGGTGAGATGGGGAAAGAGATTTATAAGACTGCTATTTTTAACGCAGGGGGCCCTGCGTTTCTTTCCACGCCCCATAAATGACCAGAGAGAAGTGATCATACAGTTGATCATTAAAACTAGAACACTTCCTAGAGTGAAAGGGGCACTATTAGCAATTAACTGTGACAGATAGCATAAACTGGGGCAGTCCTAGACAAACTTGGATGTCTGACCACCTACCCACAGGGGAATACGAGGCAAAATGCAGGTGCTAAGCAAAGGAGAACTTGCTGACTAGTTCAATGTGTCTAAGCTGGTTGGCCGTAAAATGGGTGGAGTGGAGGGTGGGTATGATTTAAGGGTATTGCCAAAACCCGCCAGCACCAGCATATCCCATACAAATATAAAACACACTCTTGAACACTTAAGTAAAATGCCTACACTGCTGTTAAGTACAACCTAACTGGAACAGAAGAAATTCTGTTCAAACAAATTCAAAGAGATCATTCAAATTTTTTTTGCTTGCAACTGAATTTTGATGTTAATTGACTATTACTCAAAACAAGTGGTGGATAACTGGCACGGGAAATATTAATGTTCTTATTTTTACTGTGCTTTGAACTATTTTTCCATTTGGTCTTTATGACTACCCAAAAAAACAGATAGGGCAGGTATTAGCTATATGTCCCATACAGGACAACTGAGGATCAGAAACGTTGTGTCTTTCTCAGGGCCACATAGCAGGTGTTAGAAGCTGCGCCCACCACACTGCACAGTGGCCCAGTGTGATTACAATGTAACCGAAATACTTCTGCCTCCAGGATTGGCCCCTGGAAACGTTCAGAAATACATGACATCTGGTTTAGCCTTGGTTTTTACTTTAAAAATTACAAAAGCAGTACACTTTCATTGCAAAGAGATTTCATAAAAACAAGTAAGTGCTGTACACAAAAGAAAAAACAGCTTGTCCCCATTTATTGACGCACATGTATAATTCTGTGCTGAGGCTCACAATGGAAGTTAAGCACTTTCCTCAGATCTTTTCATATGCATTTACACACATGCATACACACATTTTTTGTTTGTTTTGTTCTTTAGTTTTTGTTTTCTAGCACTGGGGAGGGAACACAGGGCCTCACACATGCTAGGCAAATGCTTTACCACTGCACTACACAGCCAGCCTAATGCTTTTGTCAGGTTTTTGTCCTTAACGTAAAAGTGATCTCAGTATACAGATTGTTCTATAATGTGCTTTGCTTTCTCTAGCTTTTCAGGCTGAGAAAAATTGGGAGCCAGTGGAAGAGCTGGAAAAGGGGAGGCATAATCTGACTTCCATACTAAAAGGGTCCTCCTGGCTTTTGGGATGAGAGTAGATTGAGAGTGGACACATGTAGAAGCCAGGAGACCAGCTAGGAGGCTATTGAAGTAACCCAGGTACTTGGTGCTGGTGGCTCAGAGTCCCATGGGGCCAAGAAGGTGGGCGTTTTCTATTATCTAGTCTATTAATGGAAGGATTTCTAGTATCTCTGTCATTATACCCAACTACATCTACTTCATCTATTTTAAAGTTTCATGGTAGTTCATGACATAGAGATACTAAAACTTGTTCAACCATTCTCCTATTCGTGAATTCTTAGACTGTTTCAAATTTTGCACTATTATAAACAGTGATTCAATGACAATCCTTTTGCCTCCATTGGCACCCTTTTGTTTACATCTCTGCTCATGTGTGTGATTTTTTTCTGTAGACTGAGTCCTTAGAAATGGAATTAGTGGGTCAAAGGACTTGAATATTTAAACTTTTGGTAGACTATAAGATTGCCCACCAGAATTTTTTTTTGAGACGGAGTCTCCCTATGTAGCTTAGTTTGGCCTTGAACTCATGATGATCCTCCTGCCTCAGCTTCCCAAGTGCTGGGATTACAGGTATGCACCATCATGCCCAGCCAGAAATTCCTTATAAATCTATACTTCCATTAAGAGTGTTCCAGAGTGCCTATTTCAGCAGTCTTACCAACAAAGCCAATTATGAGGTTTATTTTAGTACTAGGGACTGAACCCAGGGTTTTCACATTGAGCCACATGCCCAACCCCTTTTTATTTTTAATTTTGAGATTGGGTCTTGCTTTGTCACTGAGTTGCCCAGGTTGAGTTTGAACTTGCTATAGAAATCTCAGCCCACTTTATTATTAAATAATAGCTAAAATATATTCTCATGTTTCTGTAATCTTTGTCTTCTGCCATCTCTGTTGTCGCAACTCTGTCCTTCCAGTTCATAATCTTTCAGTCCTCTGTTCTCACACATCAAATTGAACTCATCCTCAAATTCTTTGGACTCCGTGTTTAAAAGCTACCCATACTCTTTACAGCTGCTTCCACCTTCTTGCCCCCACCCTAATCTGAGGCACCAGCACCAACTGCCCGGATCACTGCAGCAGCCTCCTCACTGGGCTCCTTGCTTCCACTCTTGTCCCCTCTCAGTCAGCTCTCTTCAGAGCAGCCAGAGGATCCTTTTAATCACATCTGTCTGCTGCTGATCAGATCTTCTACTAACTCCCAATTTCTTTCAGAGCAAAAAGTAAAATCTTTTTAAAATTCATCCTCCATATGCTGAATGTTTTAGTCAACACATTAAGGCAGTTGATGGAGGGCAATGATAAGCTCCTAAGTTTACTAAAGTCAGTGCTAGTAACATCTG